CTATTATCAAGAAATCAACCAACAACAAATGCTGGCGGGGCTGTGGAAAAAAAGGAGCCCTTCTCCACTGTTGGTGGGAGTGTAGACTGGTGCAGCCACTGTGGAAATCAGTGTGGGGATTCCTCGGTAAATTAGGATTAGAGGTCCCATTCAACCCAGCTATTTCCCTTCTGGGTATCTTCCTCAAAGAATTAAAAACATCATATCACAGTGGTATGTGTGCCCCATATTTATAGCTGCACAATTTGTAATAGCTAGACCTTGGACACAACCCAAATGCCCTTCAACTGAGGAATGGATAAAAAAGATGGGTCTTTTTATACAATGAAGTACTAAGTCATAAAGAAAAATAAACCAGACACACATGTATAATCATTGTATTGTCTTCCTAATGTTAGAAGATGAAAGAGTAAGTAAGATCCAAAATGTATAGTAGCTATTGTAAAATGGGAAGAAACTTCAAAAGGAAAGAGAAACTGGGATGGGGGAGGAGAAAAGAAGGAAGGGAAAAGCAAAAAGAAAAAAAAAATGTAAAAGTTAATGTAGTTATAGTACTAATGTCTCTTAGTTCATTGAAAAAAAAAAGGTTTGTGCTAATATTGTCCAGACAATTAAATGTCTACATCTTGTACTGTGAGTAACTGATTTGAAGATAACAGTATGCAATGTATTAACCATTGTTACTTTCCTATTATCTTGTTCTGAAATTTTTTTTTCTTTTTAAAATTAAAGAAAAAGAATGTAAAAGAAAAAGACTAAGGACATTCTCTTTCCTGGCCCTGGCACCATCATCATATTAAAAGAAAAATGAATAATAATTCCATAATAATGTCATGTGTCTAGGCCATATTTAGATTTTCTAGCTACCTCAATTTGCCTTTCATAGCTGTGGATTTTTGTTTATTTTATTAATCAATTTGTTTTTCAGGATTGGGGATTAAACATTGGGCTTTTTCACTGAGCTACATCCCCAACCCTTTAAAAAAAATTTTGGGGGCTGGGTGTGGTGGCACACACATATAATCCCAGCACTTGGGAGGCTGAGGCAGGAGGATTGTCATGAGTTTGAGGCCAACCTTGGTTACATAGTGAATTTAAGACCAGCCTGAACTACATAGTGAGACCCTGTCTCAATAAATGAATGAATGAATGAATGGAGATGGGATCTCATTAAATTGCTAAGTTGCTCAGGCTAGAGTTAAATTTGTGATCCTCCCATCTCAGCTTTCCAGAGTTTGTGTAATACTGTATTCGATTTCTCAACCAGGATTGGACTGCTTCATTCCTTCAGTCCCTCTGTCACTATCTCTTACCCCCAGCGAAACTCTGACTGGTTTTCAGAATGATTTCCTAGTGTTTCATATCCATTACCCAGTGGGATTCATCTTGCTAGAATATCACAGATTGAGGAAGTTGGGCTGCAGAAAAGTTACTTACATTTTCATGGTCAACTTATTTCTGGGTTCAAGAGTTTCTTTCATTGAGAGTGGGAAAGGCTTTCGGTATGGCGTTGTTTAGGCATCATGCAGTTAGGATTGTGGGGACCATAGGGATAAGACTTTTTCCAAATGGAATTTTTCCTTTTATCCTTCTTTTTTCCCTTGCCCTTCTAGTTCTCATTTTCCTGTATTTTGCCCACAGGTTCCCAGGGGCCTTCTCGTGAGTCCACAAGCAATGGCAGACACAGTGCCTCATCACCCAAAGCTCCAGACCCTGATGGGCTGGCCAGGCCTGTCTCTCCTGACAGCCCGGAGATCATCAGTGAGCTCCAGCAGTATGCAGATGTGGCTGCTGCTCGGGAATCCCGTCAGAGCTCTCCAAGCACCCATGCCGCCCTGCCTGGCCCCCCAGCCCAGCTCATGGACAGCAGTGCTGTTCCTGGGACAGCTCTCGGAACTGAGCCCCGGCTTGGGGGTCATTGCCTCAGTAGTTCCCTCCTGGTGACTGGCCAGCCCTGTGGTGGCAGGCGCTCAGTGCTGGACCTAAGGGCCCACAAACGAAAGGTGGCCACCCCCCCTGCCGCCCAGGAGTCATCCCGCCGGCGGCCCAGGAAGGGCCATCTGCCAGCCCCCTTGCAGCCGTATGAACACGGGTATCCGGTCTCTGGCGGGTTTGCCATGCCACCTGTCTCCTTAAACCATAACCTCACCACCCCCTTCACCTCCCAGGCTGGGGAGAACTCCCTGTTTATGGGCAGTACCCCATCCTACTACCAGCTGTCCAATTTGCTGGCAGATGCCCACCTGGTGTTTCCAGTGACTACTGACCCTCTGGTGCCGGCAGGCCCTGTCAGTTCCTCTTCCACGGCTACCTCAGTCACTGCCAGCAACCCCTCCTTCATGCTCAGCCCCTCTGTGCCAGGGATCCTCCCCAGCTACTCACTCCCTTTCTCACAACCACTCCTGTCCGAGCCGAGGATGTTTGCGCCTTTTCCTTCCCCTGTCTTGCCCAGCAACCTTTCACGGGGCATGTCTGTCTACCCTGGCTACATGTCCCCACATGCAGGCTACCCAGCTGGTGGCCTCCTCCGGTCCCAGGTGCCTCCGTTTGACTCACATGAGGTTGCTGAGGTGGGGTTCAGCTCCAATGATGATGAGGACAAGGATGACGATGTGATAGAGGTCACTGGGAAATAGCGGGGAAGCCCCCCGCCCCGCTTACTCCTGGGCCCCAGCAGGTTGCCCACCAGGCTGCAAGACAGTGATCTGGGCTTCTGAGACTAGGGTACTTGGCAGGATGGAAAGGGAGGAAGTCAAAGAAGAGTAGCTGGCCAGGGTGGCAGAGCTGTGTTGCTGCTTAACAAAAGAGGCAAAAAAAAAAAAGAAAATAGAAAAAAATCCAACAGAGCAGCAATAGCAGGAAATCAGGGGCCCAAGAGTGGGATGGAGGGGTAGGGCAGCCTGCCTCTCTTCCTGCCTAGCTTTTGCTGTCTGCTTGCTTGTTTGCCCGTCTGAGTGTACAAGCTCACGTCCCATTTCTGTCTTGGGGAACATTCTCTCCCAGTAGAGCTGCCTTACCCGGTGACTAGCTTGGCCTGGGGAGGGGAGGGGAGTGGCAGGGGAAGGGAGGGAGGGTGAGCAAGAGGAAGAGGGTGGGCAGGGGAGCAGACCGAGACCCTAGGAGAAGTGGGGTCTTCTGGGGGTGTGGGAAGGAAGCAGACCAGGTATGTGTGAGTGTATGTGTGTGTTTGTGTGTGTACATAACAGGGCGGGGTCAAGTCGGGAGGGGAGGGAGGGAGGGAAGAGCTAAGGGGGAAATTAAAAATGAATTTATCTTTTTTTAAGTGGAAATCAGAGTGTGGTGGTTCACGGCAACCATTAGTAGACATCAAGAGCCCAGAAGAGCCATGGAAGTCACAAGTTTCCTTCTAGCTGGGTAAAAAGAAGGCCTAGCTAACTCAAGTCTGGTTTTCAGAGCCACATTTGTTTTAGAATTGAGGGGAAATTATGAGAGGAAATGGGCATGACCAATCTCTGACCCCTTCCCCTGTCCATCTCTGAGTGGATCCCCTCCTCAGGTGGGAGGGGAGAGCACTGCAGTGTGGGTGAGAGGTCATAGAGTCGTGGCTGGAAGACATTCTTCACAAGGGTGGGGCTGAACTTCAGCTGCCTGTCCTGATGGCCTTTGCTCCTCTTTTCCTGCTTCCACATTAGAAGCTCCATGTTAATTTATTTCTTATGGGAAATTATTTATTATTTGGATTTTTCATGTGTCTTTTTTGGGTGGTGGGCGGGGAGGTTTGGGGTACGGAGGGTAGGCGATAGATAGGGAAGTTTTAAGATATTCTGGACCCCATAGCTCCTGGTGAAAAAATATCCTGGATTGATGGAGAATTAACCAGGCAAGGAGGCGTAGGCAGGGGTTAAACAGCCATTCTGGGGTCTTGGGAAGATGAGGGAATCTTGAGACTGGAGAGTTAGTGGTGGTGAGACTCCTTCCACAGAGATCCTTGTTTGCTATTGGAAAGTAAATGATGCCCCAAATTTGAAGCTGTGTCCTCAGATGATCTTAGAGGCCAGCTCTCTGTGCTGAATAGTTGGCCTATAGGTGGGCAGCTGCTGGGTTGGGGGAGTGGATTATTGATTCCCGTGAAGAATCAGTAGCTTCCCCAGCTTGTCAGGGGAACACTGGGCCTGGTGTCTGCTGCCGCCATCTTTGAAGGAGCCAGAAGGTACCTTTCCTCTGTAGAAGCCTAAGTCTGGCTTTTGTCTTAAAAGAGCAGGGACACGGTCATTCTGGTCTCCTCCTCTTTCCTGACAGTGCAAGGGAGGGAGCATCTGGTACTCAAGCGTAAACACTGGCTGTCTTCTATTGGTGTATACTGTTCCCACTCCCTCAAATATGCACGCATGCACACACACTTACACACACTTTGACATTTTGCCAGGTAGTTCTTCATGATGAACAAATCTTATATGGCTTTAGAGCTTTGCCACCTACCCATGGCTCCTCTCTGGGCATTGCTGAACCTGCCTCTTCCTAGCCCAGGTGGCTGGCAGCTGAGCCTCCTGTGCCTCTTCTGATCTGCTTGTTTCTCCATTGCTGGGGACCCTTAGTGTATTCTGGGGTATTGTTCCTAGTAGAGAGACCAGGAGATGGCTGGTGTGTGTGTGCTGTGTGTACCTGTCTGTCCATGTTTGTGTGCTATCCAGTAACACCAGAAGTGGAATTTAAGGAGCTGTCCTTTCTTTGTTTTCATAAGTGCTCTGTCAGACACTTAACTCTTCTACTGATAGAAGCCTTAGATCTACAATATAGCTATGCAAATTATTTTAATAATTTTTAAATAGTTCCACCTAGTGCTTTCTCTGTCAGGTGCATCCCAGCAATGGGTGGTGAAGGGTTTCAACAATTGGAGCAGCCTCTCATGTTGAGGCTGGTGCAGTTAGGAGTGAGTTAGTCTGAATCTACAGTTAGCAGAACATGTTCAGAACTTGGGTTACACTGATGATACCTCTTGGGCCCTGGAGCACTGGGATCCCAGAGTGTGTGTGTGTGTGTGTGTGTGTGTGTGTGTGTGTGTCACACGTGCGTGTGTGTGTGTGGTATACTCTGAAGAAAGATAATTCTATGTTCAGCAACAGGAAATCAGTGCAGTGGTCTCTGAGGATCCAGAAACCATTTCAGCAGGAAATTGAAACTGGTTACTAGAGGACAGGCTTTCGATGTTGCCAGAAAGTAAATGGGGGTTCTAAGAGCAGCACTTCTGTGCCACCTGCCCGGTGGCTCCAGGGCCTGTCTTCCCTTCAGCAGAGGCTGTCATTCTGGGAGGCTGACCTGGCTAACAAAGGCTTTCTCTGGTTGTGTGCAGCTCCTGCTATGTAGGGGTACAGGTAAGATAATGGGGAACTGAAGAACAGCCAGTTCCATTTTTTTTTTTTTTTTTTTTAAATGAACCTGAGAACATACTGATTCTGCTGTTCTCTTTATGTATGCTGGTGGGAAACCCTGCAAGCACAAAAAACATGGAAGGGAGGCAGGAAATGTCAGAACTTGAGCGCCTTGTTTTAATTTCTTTGATCAGAAACACTTGGTGGTGGTTCTGCTTCTTACCATCCAAGCCTGAGAGACAGGGATGCTGATGGCCTGGGGAAGACAGAAGGTCAAGCCTGGGCATTTGCCCTTGCTGTTGTCTTCTGTGGTGTGTTGTCAATGGGGTCTCAAGTTCCATACATCTGGGGTAGCCTAAGTTCTTCTCCTGGGGAGCACATTACTAAATGATGCGAGATTGTCATAGGTAGTGATGCTTGGTACCCTTAGTGTCTGTGTGGATAGACTGCTGGCTAGCTATGTAAAAAAGGAAGTGAGTGGATTCTGTTGGATCAGATCTTTTTCTGAAGATTGGAAGTTAGTGAAGCCTTTATCCCTTTGACTTGTGCTACACAGCATTTGTCTCACGCCCTGACTCACAAACTTTCCTGACCCTCGGAACTTTTTCCCTGGGAACTAATTTGTAAGCTCTATATTCATGATTCACAACTATGAAAACCCCATTTCCAGGAGCATGAAGCAAAGAGCTGCAATAAGTTTTGCTGATTAGTTGAAACACAACCAAATTTCAGCCATCTGGGCGGGACTGTCAGTAGCTAGCTGTCTACAGAGGAAGGCCCTCTGTCCTCTGTTTAAGGTGGGCGCCCATCCCCCTGGAACTGAGTCTTCGTCCCGTGTGGAAGGTCCTCTGGGGCTTTACATTCCTTACTCTACATTTCTGTGATGTGACCTCCTGCTTCTCAAGTTCCTTTTGGTTTCTCTGATGACCACACGCTTCCTTCTGAGCCATGGCCTTCACTCAGCTAAGTGGCTCTTCCCCTGCCAAAGTCCCTGAGAGGTCAAACCCCCTCAAGAGCTCCCAGGAGACTTTCTGCCCCCTGCTTCCTGTGCCCTGGGAACCAGCACCTCAAGGCCTAGTTGAGAATACTGCACTCTCCGTTGCTCACCCTAGACTCAGTTTCCCTCCTGCCAACTCTTCTCTCTGCCTTGTGTATTCCACTGTGACCCCTCGGTGTCTGCTCTGTGCCACTAGCTTGGCCCTCAGCCTTTTAAGAATACCCGAGTCTTACCACGATGAATTTCGGCAGGCAGTTCCACCTTCTTTGCTCTTCAGGGACCCAAGTCTGCGCCTTTTCCCTCTTGCAGTATCCTGGGTGTGCAGTCATGTAGTGTGGTGGGGAGAGGTAGCCAGGTAGGCTTCGGTCTGCAATGCAGAGGGCTGGGGTGGGGGGCGCAGTTTGGGTAGTCTGCTCCCACTACTGGGATGGTATTCAGATGAGAGGGGGACTTCATACTGTGACCTAACCCAGGACTCTCCCCGGAAGAGAGCTCAGCCCAGCTGTGTGAGTGTGTGAGTGTGTGTGCTCATGTGCACCTGGATGTAAAGTGACTGTTATCTGGTTGTGTTACTCAGGGTGGGCTGGGGACTCACCAGAAAAATCCCCCAAGCCTTCCCAAGACAGATTTTTTTCCCTGTACCCTCTTCAGAGGGATTATGGGGAGAGGGTCCAGGTGGGTTGAGGGGGTCTCACGATGGATAACCACTAAGGCCACACTGCTGCCAGGGGGGTGGAGGGAGATGAGGTGGCCCTAAGGCCCTGGTACCTGGCTTTGGTTTTCTGTCTTCTTTCCTCAGGACGCCCCTGAGGCCTGGGACCTGCGCCTGGCTTAGAGAAGCATCCGTGGCTGGGTGACCCAGCTGCTGGTGTGATCATGGGCTTCCCTTCTCTCAGCAGGGCAGGCGCTTCTGCCCCAGAGACTGGGCAACTGGCTGTTTCTATGACGTATTTATTTTTACTTGTGTTTCATGTCACTTTTTTAAAAAAGCAAACAGAACAATTGTAAGTCAGTATAACTGCCTATCAGTTTTCTTTATTTCTCTTTTTGTAAAATAAAATGTAAACTCAAGAAGGCAGTGTTGTTTGATTAAGGAACTATCTGGACGGCTGTTTAGCTGAGTCATGGAGGAATATCACTCAGATATGGGCACTGGGACCGCACTTGGGGGCGAGAGGTGAGAACAGAGCAGACTGCTGCGGGCGTTGTTGGCTGCGTGGCTCACTTGGCCTTCTCTGCCTCTGCTTGCATAGAGAGGCTTGGTGCTGGGCTGCACATCGGGCACGCGAGGAGGCAGCGGCGCTGGCCTGCGTGTGTCTGAGGCTCGCTGGCCCTCAGCGCCGGCGGGGCCTGAGAGGTGGCCTTGTCCAGGCTGTGAGGTGCCGGGACTGGGCCGCATCACCTCCAGCGGGTGGCTGCGGTGCGTCTTCAGGGGCTGGGGGCGGCCGCGTTGGGAGGCGTACTGCGCTGCATGTGCGGTCTCCGGTTGTCCCGAGTCAGGGCTGGGGGTGAGGGGCAAGGCGACGGTCTGCTGTAGTCTACAAGTTTCATTTCTTCAGGGGGCATTCCTGGGGGCGCACTCTCCGGAGATGTACACGGGGACCTGAAGGGCCTCGGGACCCTAACGGATCAGAAGAGGGTACGAGGCGGCGCCGCCACGCCTGGGCTGATGAGTGGGGCTGCCACACAGGAACGCGAGCGAAGATGGCCCAGACGAAGTCTGGCGAGCGGATCTCAAGCCTGCTTTAAAACGTGAAAGAAGGGCTCCGCCAGGCGCGCTGCTCCTCCTGGCGGCCGGTCGGCGCCCGCACGGCTGGCCGCGCCCGGGCAGGCCGGCGGTCCCCCCGCCGCAGGGCGCCGGCGCCCCCAGGCGCAGCCTGGACTTGGGCGCGGGGCTCTCGAGTGGTGCGGCCACGCCGAGGAGGTGAGCAGAGGACGCGGTTGTCTCGGAGAAGCTCAGCGGCCCTGGAGCGGGAGTCGGCAAAGCCCGCAGGCAGGGGGGTCTCCCCGCGCTACTACGCCCCGCCCCGCGTGGCGCAGAAGGGCTCCCCGGCGCGTGCTCCCCGCCCGGGGCTGCGCCGCGGTCCGCCCGGAGCACCGACAGGCTGCCCGGGGGAGAG